CACCACCTGGAAGCTAGCACGCAAATTATCGACTTATGCAATAAAAAAAATACTAGGCGACGTGTTTTTATCTGCACATTTCATTTATGCAAATAATTGGATCTGCACATGCCTCAATTTTGCATAAAAAAATAAAAAAATATTTGCGATTTGCAGGACGCAGTTGGATAGTGATATCTCGGCAACAAAGGCATATTTGCAACTGCACACAGTTTTAATAAACTGCACATTATCCGAACTTAATTGCACAATCAAAATTTCTATCTGCACAACCTTATTTAATTAATAAATCAATTAATAGGAATAATCCGTATTGTAGCTACGAGTACTCATGCACTGCGCATGTCCAGCTGTTGACATCGCTTATAGAGGGCGTCAAGCCTTGGGTGGGAAAGTTTAAAAAATTCTCAAATTTGTGCATAATTTTAGTAATTTGTTTTGTATTCAAAAATCAGTTCTGGTCCGTCATTAAATTTCCACCACGAATCAGGCCCCATCCAATAAGATGCCAGATTTTTTCTACGTCTTATGGATAAGAGTAACTTATTTTATCCATTCGGTACCTACAAAATAATTTCAACTTATTTCAAAAAAATTATACTTAGTAGCTACTACACGTCCACCTGTAGGTACTAAATAGTTCTAGGTCAACCAGAAGTACCTCATTCTTGGACAATTTAGGAAATCTTGACCCTTAGTATCTTTACATCAAGTAAATCCACCTACCTAACAATGACACTACCAGTAACAATAAACTGTAGCTCGTCCTGTTCAGCTAAAAATCAAATGATATGCAAGCAGATGGGTCTGCATCTGCAGGTAAACTTTCTCACCCAGCGCTGCCTTTTGACACAAGACCTGATCTTGATCTCCATGTCAACATTTAGCATACCCTTCAAAGTATTTTTACCAGCTATATGAGTAAATGAGTACATCAAATTTGAGGTAGTCAACTTTGCAACCTAGCTTCATGGTTAATGTAAAGTATATGTGTAAAATATGCAGAATGTGTCAATGCCATGAAGCAGACAGAGCAGACTGCACCACTTCTCTTGCATTCGCATGTACATATATATATGAAATTTGTATTTCTATTTGAACTGTTCAAATTGAGCATGTGCTTTTTTTACAAATTCCTAATTGATAAGTAAGTCCTTATTTTATATAAAATACGAAAGCAGAGAGTAAAAGTGCATGAATGTTTTATGTTTGTTTGAGAATTTTTTAAACTTTCCCACCCAAGGCTTGACGCCCTCTATAAGCGATGTCAACAGCTGGACATGCGCAGTGCATGAGTACTCGTAGCTACAAATGCTACAATACGGATTATTCCTATTAATTGATTTATTAATTAAATAAGGTTGTGCAGATAGAAATTTTGATTGTGCAATTAAGTTCGGATAATGTGCAGTTTGTTAAAAATGTATGCAGTTGCAAATATGCCTTTGTTGCCGAGATATCACTATCCAACTGCGTCCTGCAAATCGCAAATATTTTTTTATTTTTTTATGCAAAATTGAGGCATGTGCAGATCCAATTATTTGCATAAATAAAATGTGCAGATAAAAACACGTCGCCTAGTATTTTTTTTATTGCATAAGTCGATAATTTGCGTGCTAGCTTCCAGGTGGTATGATGGTTAAAGGTGTGTAGAAAAGTATAGCACGTATACATATATGCACGTACGATATACATATAGAGTGGGGAGAGGGGAAGTGTAAAAATTTTTAGTTAACCTTCTAACAATAATACTTCCATGTAGTCTGTCTTGTTTAATGATCTCTGAAACAGAAAACGTGTCCATATCGATAAAAGGGAATCATCGTAGAAACAATGTTAGAGTGTGAAATAGAACATGTCGTTGGTTATCTCTAAAATTCAGCAAGTCAGCGTTCAATAATCGTAATCCTTTGAGCAACAGCTGCAGCTCGAAGTATTCAGTCGTTTATCTTGAACAAGCTCTTAGCAGGGTCTAGGAGAAATAAAAGCCCACTCTTTTCTTCTTCTTCCTCGACACTTCTTTCTTTCTCCACGTCAATTCCAGTAAAATTTAAGATTAGTCGAGTTCTTTTAGACGAGGCAAAAAAGAAAATCAAATTTCCCTGCGTTCATACTCATTCTCAGTAATTAAGGTGGCTCCAGCGCCTAGTGCCGTATTAAAATGGGGAGACTAAAAATTAATCATTATTTTCTTTAAAATATGGTATAAAATTATCGTAGAAACTGTTGTAAGCCATGTTCTACATTTTATCTGTTACTTTATTGAGTTAATATAAAAAAACAAAAAGGTTTTATGGTGCCCTAATTGATGAAATGTTACGGTACGCTCCTAAGTTCAAAAGTAGTTATACCTATATAAATGTACTCTGCAGAATGCAGACAGCTGAGAGCTGACTTGCACTCGCAACTGTATACTAAGTCTCCGATTATTTAAAAATTTTGTTCGATAACAAGACACTTTTCTCATGTCATCGAAAACTGCGTAATAATATATACAAGATAGTATGTTTTTTACACCTTACGGGTTATTTATATAAGTGCAGCAGTAGGTTGTGTATCGCGTAAGCTTGCATTTCCTATCCAACCCGTCTTAAAACTACGATTTTGTAAGCATGATTTCTTACAATTTTNTAACTTATTACTTTCTGGTATGCAAATATGTAGACAAGGCTAACTATTGAAAATTTTTTGGTATTTATGAAACAAAGAAGTTAAAAGAGTTGAAGACATAAATTTCACCAATAAAGAGCTATTAGTATCAAAACAGTTAAAGTGCTTCTCACGCTGCAGAGTAAAAAAAAGACTTTCACATACTTGCAAAATTTTTATTTGAGAGATAAACACATTTTTTTTTAATTTTGATGTACATTGAAAAACCACCTTTTGAGTTGATAATTTATTTTAAACATACGTATGTCTAGATAGTAGTAAAACTGTTTGGTCTTCAGGATTTTATACATAATTTCTTAAAATGACACCAGTATAACGATTAAACATCAGCATGAAATACTTTAAATTGCTGTAAAGTCTGATCACGCTATACATAAAACTTGAGTTTTTATTTTATTATTTATTATGTACTCGACAAAAAATTAATTGTGCATCAATGAAAATTTTTGTTTTTGAGTAATCTCAGCTTTCACTTTAGAATCCAAATCTGGATAAATTTTAAAAACACTGGCGATAGAAGCATCAATCTTTACCTTCAGTGTTTTAATCTCTTCTTGGACATTTACTTGCTCTCTATCACTTTTTTTGTCAAAATCTTTGAAGATTACTCTCATTTTACGAAACTCTTCATTGATATTTGTCTCTTCTTTTAATGCAGATTCTAGCAGTAAGTGCATTTCATCAATAAACGGATACTGCAAGTAAGGATTTCGGTATTTGAATAATATTTCAAGTCCTGAATGTATGCTCTTTTTCCATAAATCGCAAAATGACGTAAATCTGTATTCAAGGTCTGCCAGTGATTCCACCAATATTTTTAAATCTTCTTTCTCCTGTGACAAAACAAATAATTAAACTTGCGTTATTGTGGTTTAGTCGAAAGTTAATCTAACCTTATTAGCCAATGCTTTTAATTTTATTCTGAACGAAATGACGCATTCAAGGCTGACAAATATTAGAACAATAATTAATACTTTTGAAAACATATTTACGATGTTTGCCACTCAAAGAATTTGACTGCACTTTGAGCTCGAGTGACTTGTTCTTTTTATAAGAAAGTTATGCTTGATATAAAAACGTTTTTAGAGAATATAGTGGGGTGGGAACAAGTTTTCTTGAAGCGTACATGAGGTAGAGGATGGTCCCAGATAAAATGAAAATCTCAAATAAAATTTGTTTCATTTTTATATTGCTTCGATGGTCAAAATTACATGTCATGGGATACATGCAACTGAGGTCTGTTTTACTTGTAGTACTTCACTTATTCGAACGACAAAAACTCACGTTGTCTTGTACTTAGAAATGTACGAGTGTTCATTTTTTTGAACTTTAATCAGCTCAAGGGGACAAGAAAAGCAACGAAAATAAATAACTCTGATACATTGTGACATACTTTTACATTATTTTTTACACTCGCTGGACAAGGCCATGCTTGCATACCCGTACACAAGCTGATAGCTCCTTTCTCAGCCATATGCGCAGATACCTGTCGTACTCTTCTATAGTTACTATACAGAGATGGAAAACTATGTTGGCTCCATCGATAGTGTTAAAATGCTTATGGTGTCGTCAATCAAATTTTTCTGGCTACAATACCCTAAAATCAATTGTTTAACTACAACTGAGATTGGCTCTTATTTAAAATTAACGCTGACTTGCAGGGAAAATTGATTTTTAATTGCTTTTCATTTCATTAACGATTGATAATAGTGAGACAAGACGTTTTTAAATAGCACATTATACTTCATTTTTATTTTTGAAGTAGGAATAAAACTTATAGTGTTATTGGAGTTTTTAGTACAAGGCGTAAAGGTTATTTTCTAAATGTTGCAAGATTAAAATAAAATTTGGTGCAAAGAATGTCGTTTAATTTACGGAGTAAACATAGTATTTTGTTAAATATGTCACAAAAATGTTTTATTCATTTGACTATGTTAGCCTCTTTAGTGAGATAGACTCTTGGCTTCGTCAATCAAATTTTTCTGGCTCCAACACCTTAAAATTTATTGTTTACTTACAACTGAGATTGGCTCTTTTCTAATTACAAGAGTTTTATCTGAAAATTGTATTATCATTAACAGTTAATAATAAGTCGATTCTACCATCAACAGACCAACTTTATTTTTTAAATAATATTTACTGATGTCTTGCCCTGACTTTTAGGAATCACTGTATAGATTGTAAGTCAACAACCATCTACCAAGAGTATGCTGAGTCTTCGATAATGGCGTTACTGCTCTCACAGCCGTTAGCTAGACTCAAATAAAAATATGGTGGAACTTAGTAAAATATTGACTTTCTTATTAATCAATTTGCGTATTAACAAAATTCTTGAATGTTCCTATCATTTTAGAATAGATTTTTATAGTTTGTTAAAAATATGATTGACTGATTATCGATAGTAGAAAATAAAAAATTTTTTTTCAATCTTTTCAGTCAATAGTAGATTAGATTTTAAATTAGCCTTATCGATACCTCTTCGTGACGTGCAATAAAAATCAATAACTGACTCGAAGAAGATTAATTTTAAATTGCTTTTCTTATAAATAATATTTGATGTGGGTAACACAAGACTTTTTTCAATAACACTTTTTACTTCATTTTTGTTTTTGAAGTAAGATTAAGACTTATAATGTATTTGGAGTTCTTGGTTTAAGGCAAGAAAGTAAGTTTTCAAGAGATGTAAGATAATCAAAGAATATCGTATAATCGAAGAAGTATAGATAGTATCTTTTAAACTTGTCAAAAATTTTTTGCACACTTGTAGGTCAATTATTAGTTTTTACAATAATTTAGATCTGAAATTCTGAGAAGTTTTAAGTAAATATTGCAATAATACCTTGGTTTGAAATCATACTAGATATCATTTAAAGTCCTCATAGTGTATAGAGGTCGTAGTTGAGTTTTGTGAAATTTACATGGACTACATTGTTGTAATCAATAAAATACGTTTTGAAGCATGTTGACATTAATTTTTTTCAAAAATGTGGTAAAGTTCATAACACAAATTTATAAAACAGTAAGTGATTGTGACACAATGAACTTGTTCATGACTGATTTAGGAAAACAAGATCCACTTTCAAGCGTCACGGGTACTCTCTCTGTCCACATAATATCACCAAGCGTTAGCCAATTCATCCAGTGAGATCATTGTTAGTTCTACCACTTCTGACACAGTTGGGCAAAAGAGCCAATGGGTGAACTTTTCTACCCTTAAAAGTCTGACTTTTCATTAGAATATGCTTAACCCTAATTTTTGTTTATTCTGGGACTGTTTCAATACCTGAATATTTTTTGCTTCACAATTATTCGAAAATACCGCCAGATTAGCTCTTTGGTCGCTGAATCTATCATGAAAATTAACTGCATCTATCCTGCCACTATTTCTTCCAAAAACCAAAGGCGTAGTAATCCATGGTTTTCAGAAAAAATCGTACTTGTGCTAAGGGGTTGAAGCACATTTAATAAAACACAAGATTCTTACTATAAATGAAAAAAATAAATAAAAAATACGTAAATGAAAAATAATAAAACTTTAAACGCGTGCGTGACGAACCAAGCTATACTGGAAAGATGATCAGTTCCCACTTGATGAGGAAGTCGTCTCTATTGGACCGCACGACTCCACCATCTCGTTATTGGATCTTCTTTCCCGTAGACGTTTTTTTCTCTCATTGGAGAAGCACCATGAAATTTTTTTAATTTTTCCCGTCGTATCGATGCTACGCGAGCTTCTACCAGTTGGAATCGTTAAATTCCATTTGACTGCTCGACTGTGCAAGGATCGTTTCTATATCGCTTGGGTGTCACGTTTTGCAATCTTGCAATTATTTGGTAGTTCTTTAGGTGCAATTGAAAAAACTGCGAGTGTGGTAGTTGCACTAAATTTTTTGAACAGCAACTTTTGCATTGGCTCGAGGTTTGATTAAAATTTTAAGAAGTCTTTCAGTTCCTTAGAAAAGAATCCTGTATATGAGAATGAGAAAGTTATCGACTATCAATTTATAAGAAAAAAGTGTCAACAGTTTTGTAATCCTCTCAACATGATTCATAAATGCTTTCTTCTTAAATAAGGAACGATGAATATAAGAATAAAATGAAATATGAAAAAAAATAAAACAAGAACAGAATA